CCAGGTGTCCTTCCAAGGCTCACTCAGGACACCTTTCGCAAAAAGGGCACCTCATCATGGAAGGCTCACACAGAATATCAGCATGTCTTCTAATTTTAACAGTCTGGAACACTTCCGACATTAAAGTTACATACAGCATATTTCATCTTCTCATTTCAACATGGGGTTATCAAAAATATGTCACATCATTCTTAGGTGCCGTTTGGTTTATAATTCACCCTGAATGGATTTTTCAATCACTGACTCGCTCTTGGACTTCTTGACAGCCTCAAGAACAAAATGCTTTAGAGCATTTAGAGCATGCATGAGCAAAACTCTGCTTTGACTCTGCTAAAACAAGGATCTGTTAAATCACTGTGTTTGGTCGAAACACTGAAAAGCTATGTCCCTTCAGGCTTATGTGTAGAATAGTGGTGGCTGCTTGAAAATGATAATTTTAAAACGTGGCATTTTGCCCCAAGCCCATCGATTTCTCGGCAGTTACAAATTGCTGTGTGGCCCAGGTTGTTCCACCCCAAGGAAACACACTTTGGAGGTCCTAAGCTGGAAGCCACTTGGAAGTTTCCATGAAGCTGTGTGTTGTCAGTCTGGTTTTGATAGGTTGGCCTGGCTTTCTTTGAAACGTGCGGGCCCCACTCCACGCCGGGGGCGGCCGGCATCCGGCATATGGTGACAAGGCCCAAGATGGGTGGCGCTCGCGGGTTGGGCAGCTGGGCGCGCCGGTGGCTCCTTTCCAAATTACTCATCATGTTTTGAGTCGTTGCTTGGAAAAATGTGGTGCCCATCTCCACAATACATGTTCTTTTTATTTTTAAGCTCGGGGAAGGCTTCCAGCAGGAAAACAAGACAGATGGGGAGAAGAAGCAAGATATTTATGCCTATTTAGGCCATTTTCTTCTGTCAGTTTCCCACAGGCTGAGTTTTCCAGATAAACAAAGGAGTCCCTCAGCATTCATAGTTAACTCTGTCCCAGGAAGCACTTTTGCTTTTCAGATAAAGAGTGCCTTTGGAATGGCAACACGTCAAGACCGCAGGAAGGGCTGGTGGATTTTTAATGACCAAAGTGGCACTGGTAGAGGTCTTGTAGCAACCAGCAGATCTGAACATTGGGTTAACAGGCTCTTTTTGAGATGGTGGTGACGCTGTGATAGTAAGTGGCAGTCAGAAGGCCTTCCATGGGCCCGTGTGTGACTGTTGCTTGCTTTCAGTGGTGTTCCCCACTCTGGGGTCCTTGACTGCAAGTTATCCCGGAGTCTCAGAAGCACAGGCCGAAAGCCTTTATTCCAGCTGTGAGTTACACAGAGCTGGGAATTCTCTCAGATGCTGCTCATAAGAGTCCTCCATTTGGACCAAGCTCTCAGTCTGGGGGTCTGGAATGATTCTCGGTGGGGCTTTCCACATTGACATCCAAGAAGTGTTCTTGGTTGGTGATGTAGTGATAGGTTTTGAATCTCTATGTATAGATGTTAGATTTTTTTGCAAAAGCTTTAGACAAGAACTGTGCTTCAAATTTTCTCTAAACATTATATACTTGGTACATATTTATTTACCTAATTTATATTGAATTAAAGCTGCTTTTCCTCCCTTCTCTGTGGCATCTACTTTGTAGACTATCCTTTCTTATACCTCCAAGAGCCTCAAGGCTGAAAAACTTGGTATTTAGTCCATTGGCAAAAGTGAATAACAATGTAGTTTTTCTGTGAGTTGAATATTTAATTCATTATTTTACTTGACTTGTACCTTCTGACCACACAATAAAAGTTCAAATATCCACAGCTTCTAAATTAAAATTGACGTAAGAAGTTGCTATAAAGAAAAACGAGGCTAATTTCCTCATTATCAGTCTCTCCTTAGTAATCCAATAAAACATACCCACCACTCAGTTTTAAAAATTAATAGTAGTTGTCAAGCTTAAAGTATAGTTCTTTCTATTTCTGAACATTGTCATAAGTCATTTGAGATAGATTTATGAAATGACAGACTTTCCCAGAATAAAATACATTGTGTCAAGATGCTTTTCTTTAGTTCGGTCCAATGGGAATTTAAGAAATCATTTTAAACAAGAATAAAAAATGGAAATAATTCTTGAAATGCCTTGCAGGTGACAGATAGATCTCAATACTCTGATGTACATCACATTTTTAAAACAATGTAGTCTTTTATATGCACAAAGGTTTTAAATTTATTGGAAATTATTAGCATATTGTTCAATGTTCTAAAAACTTGCGAAATAATATAAGTCAAGCAGTCATGGTGTGTTGGCATAAGGTTTCTATGCATAAAGATCTATAATTAAATGTGACTTCTCCTGTTCATCTGAAAAGCTATTATCTTATCATTACAGTTGCTGCCAGTACTAAACCAACCAGCATCTTTCAGTACCTAGCACTATCCTTTCTATCGACAAATATTTTCATCCAATCATCCACTTCTTTTTCTGTTTCCTATAAATGCCATGATGCTTAATATCTTAAAATAACTTCCAAATAAGGTTGCAGAGTTTTTATACTGCTGAGTCATCAAGAATTCCAAAGAAGTACCAAATTGTTCCAAATCTTTCCACTAGTATATTTTATTATATATATCATTTATAATTTTGCTAAACATATTTCATATATAAACCTTCTGCAATTATATTTTATCGCAAGTAACAAAATGCATTCTTGTGTGACACATAAACGGGCCTCTGAACCTGGAACCTGGCTCACAGATACCGAGACAGGGATGTCTGGCAGCCTGGCCATGTCGCCCCTGTCAGCGCCTTCTCTGTCCTTTGTCATCTCTCCTTGTTCGTTCTCATCCTCTCCGTGATTTTATGTGTCATTCAAAAGACAGTTAAACTTATTCATAGGCATCATGACAAATAGAAGAAAACGAGACTTAAAAATCATAACAACACATTCCTCAGTTTTCAAAGCACTTCAATTGTAAAATGCACAACCAACTCAATCATTGTTAAAAAAAAAACAAAAACAACAAGACCCTGTAGTTTACGTTTAATGAATTGTAAGCCATAACTTATTTCAAAGTGTGAAGTTATATGCCCCACGAAGTAGGCATATGCTGGACAACATTGGCGTACAAATGCTCTATTTGTGTATAATCAGTCTTAAACACCATGCGTTCCTGCAAAAGCTCTCAATCACAACTGTGCTGTTCTCAATCAGTACTGTTCTCTCCATTTCACAGAAGAAGCAACTGGGGATCAGGAATACTGATCCAAAGTGAGTGCTGCTCAGAAAGCCAGATCAGAAGCCAGAGTAGAAAACCAAATTCTACTTGCTGTATTTGCTAGTCACGTAAGATCATACTATATAACAATAAGGTCCCTGGATGTTTCAGCCAGTGGGGGGAAATGTATGCCTTTGGACCAATGTGCATCAAGGGTCAGCCATGTCATGACAACATAGCAAGGAAGCCTTTGATGCTAGATGGGCAATCTATGAAGCCCTCCCAGTGGAAGAAGTCACGATTAAAACATCCCTCGGTATATTAAAGAAGTAATGTACTGAATTCATTCATTGCTTCCGGCATCCATTTATGCACCCATCTATTCATTTACTTATAACACAATTACCCAGGTTTATTTAAACACATTTGCTGCTGGGTTAAACAAAATTTTCAAAGAGAAGCAGAAAGATTATTAAATCAATGAGTGGGAAAAGATTGTATCTTCCCAACATTTACAAATAGCACAAGCTATTAACGCACTTCAATTCTGCAAAGCGAAAGGAGGGATGAGATGGATCAAAACCACAACCACAGACTTTTCATGCCAAGAACAGAGCTCAACCCCTCCCCACCGAGGGGCAGCAGCCACTCCCATTAACTCAGAGCATTCTTCCCAGTCTAGCTTAACTGAGCATGCAGGCAGCACCCCCAGCAGTGGTTAGAAACCCCCCGAAGCTGGGACTCCCAGTGGCTTAAAACAAAAGAAGGGCATCAAGTAACAGCGTTTCTTAATAGAGTCCATAACCTTTATCTAAACTAATATCCAACATAACTAACCGTTGATTATTTTATACATACACACGAGGACAGCATTGCATTGTTCGCCTGTAAGACAAGTCAGCAGTTTATAGCATTCATCATTCATAGATTCTTTTCCATGAACATCGCTAAGGACTCGTTGCTGTGTAGCAAAAGTCACTGCAAAACAGTTCATCAAAGCGATGCGAGAATCAGGAGCAACTTTACAGCAGACATGTCTCAAGGGTTACTTGAGCATGAGTGAATAAACACATCCCCTTCAGCCCACTCTCACTGCTCAGGAGATACGAAGCACTGTGCAAAGCCATGCTGAGTGGATAGAAGGATGGCTACTTACCCACAGGGCGAGCTGTAGACATTACAATGGTGTGGTGAAACATAAAAAAGAAATTTAAAAAAAAGAAAGAAAAGAAAATTATCAGAATGCATGGCGTGTAATGTTACATTTAAGTATGGACAATAGAGTGATTTCTCGTCTCATAATTCAAGTATGAACAAGATGTCTGGGTCTGATAAAACCGGCAGTCATGCATATCATTCCAAGAAAATAATTGCTTTGACTCTCAGCACTGACTACAAGCAACTTGAGAGACATGTTAGGTGAAGTCTTATCATCGTCACTTGCTATAGTTGTTATTTCAAAGAGCTTGAGTTCAGCAGCCAGGCTACTCTGAAGTGAAGGGCCTGAAATGTGTAACCATTCAAGTCACAGGCGAGCAAATGTCAGGTCAAGGCAGAAGGCCTTGCCTCTGCTTTAAATAGCCACTGACTTTCAGCTTGGTTAGTCAGAACCGTTCCAAGGACTACAGAGGGGCCCTGTGTGCTGCTTCTCGGTCCGCTGGCAGTTAAGAGCACGCCACGTTTCATCCGTGGACGGGGTGGGCGGGAATACAGCAAACAGGCCAGAAGCTCCTTAGAGATTCCAACTCAGCAGCCGCGGGACTGCCACTAAGCTCTTCTCTTCTCTTGGCAGAGGGCAGAAGACAATGACTGGCAAGTTGATTCTTGTTCACACCGAGAATGGCTTTCGAACTGCCGCTTCGGCAAATTATCATTTTTTGTTAGGCCATAACTCAATCACCGAAATCAGCCACAGTAGGCTGCCCTGGTTACTAACGCACAGCCATGGTAAGAGACACACAGGGGCTTAAGAATACTTTCTTTAAAAAGAATAGCAACCAATCAGTCTGGATGGTAAACCATTTTATACAAAACCGATAGACAAACATAAAACACGTGATCCCACTGTCCAAATGAAGAGGGAATGCACTGAGTCGCATTTCAACTTTCATGACATTTTGCAATCGAAATATACATGGTTTCAACATGTTTCCCCACATCTCCCGGGATGAAGCTCTGGCACGTGTGTGATGCTAGTCTAGAACCCGTGAGCAGTTTGTGTTGACTTTGGCTCCCTGGCCGTGGCGAGATAGATGTGGCCACTGAAATCATACTGAGACTTCTTCAGCTCAACAAATGCATCATAATAGAGTGTTGCGCAGTCTCTGAAAAGAACTTTGCAGTTGCATCTGTATGAGAGTCACAGACTTCAAATATTGTTCACAATTAAAAAGGGGACGATTAAAACAGAACGAAGAGCAAGGCATGAGAACTCTGGCTTAGTGAGACCCCAGCGTGTCCTATGGTATGTGCTGTGTTTGCTCAGCAAGTGGAAGAGAGAAGTAAGTTACCCAGCGTTCCACAATTTCTTTCTTTTCACGGGGCACTGGGGGTGAGATACAAGACTAAATACCAAAACACGACGACAGACAGACACCACGAAGTCATGCCTCACTCTAACTGATGAAACTTCTCTTAATTTTGCCAGTGTCCAGTGGAAAAAGTATTGTCATCCTTGACTGCATGTCTTAGCTTGCTACCTTCGGCAGACTCTCAAACATAATGTGTCCTTCAGAAACAAGAAGGCATTTTGAGTCTAACTAAAGAGGGAAAAAAGAAGAAGTCTTGGTGAGAAATCATGTGCTAAACAAATAAAAGCTAATTCTATCTCATCTTAGTCTAAAATAATTTCAAAAAACTCTAGGCTTTATTGCCCTAGAAGCAAGATAATTTCTCCGGTGAGATCTGTGCCTATGAAAAGCCACTTAAACAATTAAAAAATGGGAAAAAATTGTGGTGATTACCAGTATGCAGTTGGTGTTAAGTCATATTCAAGTCATTAAAAATTTCTACTGGATGATGAATTATTTGATTAGCAGATAAATGCCGGGAGGTTTGTGGTAGGCTCACTCTAGGTCTTTCAAATTTTGTGTTTGCCAAATCAGCAAAGGCAGTTACTTGATGTTAAGCCTCATTTTATAAGCTTTTTTTAAAACTATATTTTTGAAGTGATAAAGAATTGAATAGATTCTTCAGATTTTCTCAATAAAACTTCCTTACTTTCTCCCTAATGTGACTATTATGACACAATTTTAGCAGAAATATCACAATAAAGCTTCTTGCCTTTGTTACATAACAACAATTCATCCTGAAAAAAACCCAACAGGTGGATGTTTTCAAAATCAGCAAATTAAACTAAATTGTGTTCCTGCATTAAGTGAATAAAGATGGACATGGCCTCTTGGGTCAGTTGACCCTGTTATAATAAAGCAATCCAGGGAAAGGCTGAACATTTCATTTACATGGATAGAAAAATGAGCACAGGAAAAAATAAGCCGCAGATAATCATGTGTGGGTTTTTTTTCCTGTTAATCCCTTAGCATGCATGAGAAATCCCACCTGCTTTTCCAAATGGTAAAAAAAAAAAAAAAAAGTTTTTAAACAATTTTTTTACTGCACATTTTATTGTATTATGGAGATTTTTTCCTCCCACCCCATTTCTGAGGCTTCAGTCTTAGACAAGTGATGAATACCACCCATACAGAGTACACACCCTGAGCCATCTACAGACTGCAGACCGGGGACAGGGGCCCATTTAAGGTTTGCTGGTTTAAAAAAAATTCTATTAAAAACAAGCAATGCTTTCTATTAGTTTTGTGAGTTAGCTTCAGACAGTCATGCGTGGGGACCTTGTTTTTAAATGAAATGTTAAACCTGAAACTTTCAACAAATTATGAAAACAATTAGCTGGGAAAGACCTTAAAGCAAACAGACCCCTTCAAGTCTCATTCACCCAAGCATGCAAGCATAAAGAAACCCCGCTGATTTCACAAACAAACAGCTTCTCACATTTGCTCGCCATTTGTTTAGTCAGCAAATATTTTCTGAATGGAACATTTCTTGGTGGGTTTTTTCTTTATTTGTTTTTCATTTACTTCAGGAAAAAGAAAAAAGAAAAACACAAACTTTGGGGGTAATTTGGTCAAGTGAATTGTTTCTGCAAAGAGCTGCCGAGTCAAAAACAAGTACATGCAGCATTGCCTACAGAGAGAGCAGGTTACACAGAGAGGGTCCACTGGTTCGGTCACAAAGGATGTTGGATTGGGTCCTACAGAATTAGTATATAAGTTCTACTCGTAGCTGATCAGAGTCTTTTAGGACCTGCTAGCTGATGAGAAGTGGAAATATTTTTAAGATGAGATTGTCAGTTCTGTCTTAATTTGCATGTGGACATCTGGAGGAGAAACCTGGTCCGATGGGACGGGAAGGGAGCGGTCTGGAGTGTGGGACACCCCACTCCTGCTCCGTGCCCGGAGGGCCTGTGTCCTTGTGTTCCCAGGAGGCAAATTAGTCTCATGTGGTTTGAAGGTCAAACCCTAGGTCTGGTTGGCCAGATGGAGGACTGAACTGAGAAACTCTGGCACATTTGCAACTCCAACCTCCACACCTTCTTCCCAACCCTGCAGACACTTCTGGGAAGGAAACAGCAGGAAGGCGTGGGGCGGACCGAACAGGGTGAGACATGCCGGGTGAGGACATGTGGCTTGCTCTGTCTACCAGAGGACACGGGGGCATGGAAGACGGACATGCTTGCCTGCCCCTGCTGGGAGTCATGAGTGCAACTGACGCCACCGGTGACGTCTACTGGCGAGTGAGGGTCCCTGTTTACAGGGCACCCTCGGTCCCCTGGACTGCACGATTTGCCTCATGTGACTCACATGCTGCACCAGGAAGGCAGAGGGTCCGCGCCAGTGCCTTGTGGAGCTGAGAGGTGCCTTCCCTCCCTTACAAGCAGTCCCAGAGAGTCTATAAATGAACATTACTCTGTGACGGAGAAAGTGCGTGACACCCGGAAAGTGAAAGTTATTACAGGAGCGGCACTGGCTATTTCAATTATTTAAGGCCAATGAACTCCACAAATCAGCCTCTAAATCAGATTATCTCAGTGCCGGGCTCCTCAGAGTTCATGTTTCACCTTTGGAAGCATTGTTAGTATTTTCAGATGGCTTTTCTGAATGTTGACATAAGAAAGAATTTCAGAACTGTACTAGTAAAAAGTGACAGACAAACGAGTGAACAGACAACAGGAACAGTCCTCTGAAACTGACAACATGCAAAAGCAGTAAAATCTAAAACACTAACATCGATCTTTTCTACTTTTGAGGTTTCCTTTTAAACCATATAAAGCTTGAACTTTAAGTCATACAAGCAATTGTTTACTAAATAGGTATTAACCCCTTGAAATGACTGTTCCTGGAAGTAATTCTATTTCAATTAATGATAGAGAGTACCCAGAATCTGGGTGTTTTAGCATAATAAAGCAGTGTGATCTGTTATTTCGATGTGCATTCACTCACCAACTTAACCAAATATCAGTCTCCTGGCTCACGTGCACGTGGCACCTGGCATCTCTTACCTCGGACGGTGAGGGTGGCAGAGGCGTCCACCCTCCCAACCCGGTTCTCGGCAATGCAAGTGTAGGTGCCTTCATCTGTGCTCACGGCCTTCTTAATCCTCAGTGTGTAATCGTCTTTGATGTCATACCTGAGTGGAATACAAACTGGTGTCATTAAAACAAGACTGGTTGGCCGGGTTTGGTGGCTCACCCTGTAATCCCACGCTTTGGAAGGCCGAGGTGAGTGAATTGCCTGAGCCCGCAGGTTCAAGACCCACCTGGGCAACTTGGTGAGACCTCATCTCTCTACAATAAATCAAAAAATCAGCTGGGTGTGGTAGCACATGCCTGTAGTTCCAGCTACTTGGAAGGCTGAGCAGAAGGATCGCCGGAGCCCAGTCGGTCGAGGCTGTGGTGGCTGGGAGCATGCCACTGCACTCCAGCCTGGGCGACAGAGTGAGACTCCAACTCAAAAAACAAAACAAGCAAACAAACAAACAAAAGTCCTATTCTGTAGACTTCAGCAGACAACAGCAACAGCTCCTTACCATCAAGCCAGCCAAACTCAACTGCCCTTACTCCTCCAACCCTTAGTGACTGTGGTTACTTCTGTGTCTGCATGCTTTGTCTTGAAATAAATCAAAAGGAAGGATTGCTGGAGCCCAGCTGGTCGAGGCTGTGGTGGCCGGGAGCGGCCACTGCACTCCAGTCTGGGCAACAGAGTGAGACTCCAACTAAAAAAAAAAAAAATCTGCTTTATTTCCTGTTTCACGCGTGGGGAGGGAAGACTTGTCTGCTGCTCGTGTAAGCCACCCTTGCGACACCGGAAGGATGGGCTTCGCCCTTGCTGGTACTCACTGCCACAGCGATAATTCCACACTGATGCTCATACTCGGGTGACAGTTCCTCACTGACACCCGCACTTGCGCCTGTTTTGACGAAGGTGGAGACTCTGCCTGGGCCACTCACTGCGACGCCCACACTCCCAGACACTGAGCTTGCAGCGTCAAGCCACAGTCATGCAATGGGGGGTGCAGACTCGGAGGAATATCCCAGAGTTCTGACCGTGGACTCGGCCTCCTTCTGTGCTCCTTAGGGTGGGCACAATACCTACATTCTCTGGGTCTCCATTTCTGCATTGGCAGAATGGTGCTAAGCATCATATCTATGTCACGGAGTGGACGCAAGCCTTAAGTGAGGTATTCCATACATATGACTAGCTGTTATTATCACCGGCAGGAGCTCGAGAAACGCAGTCTGGAGACACGCTATCTTGGTTCCTGCTGACATCACAGTCAACCACGTGGGAATGGCTTTCACTGCACACCTGCCTCCACCCAAGGGGACTTTCTCATGGGCTAGATTTACAGTCTAGGACAACACAGAGAAACATTCTCTGCTGAACTTAGTCAATAAAGCAAGTAAGATAAAACGTTTTGATGACGGCCTCAGAGAAGCTCCTAGTGACGCATTTAATGTCTAGTAAAATGATCTTTTCTGCAGTTAGTCTATATGCTGCATGGTGTGCTTAGCTCTAACACACAAACTGAATAAAAGCAACGTATTTTGCAGCTATTTGCAACTCGTCTCAAGCCAAATGGATTCCTGGCTACCACGGTGCCGTCCATTCTGGTTCGACCTTCCAGAAGTCTCCTCATTCTTCTACGACCGAGTTCCCTCAAAAGCTGGAAGGGGGAGACGCACTTCCTAGCCTACAGATTCTCTTCTGGACCACAACAGGGGGAAAACCATGACTCTAAGCTCATCACATCCCTGTATTGTGCAGCATCTGTGACTTGTCATTAGGAAAAGAGAGGACGCTACCTCCACTAGAAGCAATGGACGGAGGTCCATGGTGCTCACCGCCTCCGCGCCACACCGCGCTGAACCTGGAACTGTCAGTTTAGAGAGGAGAAAGCGCACGCTCGGCGGGGGAAAGGCCCTCCTCAGGGTCAGCGCATTGCTGGTGAGCAAGCCTGGACCTCAGCCCTCATTCTCTGCGAGACACTCGCCCCCACGACGTGCTCCTCTTCTCTCCAGGAGAATGGCTTCGCTTTCAAATGCTGACTTTAGCCATCATAGACATATAACTACACAACTTGGATGGAAATACAGTTTTCCATTGGCCAACAATTAATTATATGAGGCGGACCCAAAGAAAACCAGAATTATCTCTTGGCGGCAGGGCCCCTGGTAGCCCAGGCCTCCCCCTCTAGGTAAGTGTTCTGAGAACCCATCGACATCGGTGTCCCTGCTAGTGCTGTTGTGCGAGGCTGCCTTTGGGTTCCCTGAATTTTTTTTGAAGATTCCTTCAGTGCTTTTGTCCATTTCATGAGGGGTGATTGACAGGCGCACCTGCCCACGCCACGCTGAATGTTCAGCAGTTTTTGACCCCAAACAGCAAGACCCCACGCCCCACCCGTCATCTATCCACTCTCACCCTGAGCAACGATGTTTTTGTTTGCTTGTTTCCTGGATGAAAACAGTCCTCACAAGAAAATGTTTTGCTGATGTGCAAGAAGTGAAACAAAAAAAGGTAGAAGCACTAAAAGGCATCACAACTGGTGCATTCAAAAGCTGTTTTGAGCAGTAGAAAAAGTACCTTGATGAGTGTTTTGCATCAATGGAGAGTACTTTGAAGGTGACTGAAGTTTAAGCACGTAAGAATAAATACACAATTTTTAATTAACAAATTCCAGCTTTTTCGGGGCCTCCCCTCATATCTTCTGACAAAATCTTATTTCGCATTAGAGAACATCATTACACAGGCAAAGGTGTGGAGGATAAACACAAGGTGAAAGCTAGGTACCTCTTGCTTTAAGAAGAAGCAGTGTTCACTTAAAAATTACAGAATATGTAACATATGCAATAAAAACAAGTCTGAAACCGGACTTTCTAAATTTTTTTATTTTTTAAGGTAGATGAAAACAAGAGTAGACATGGGAACACCATATTTTATCTTATTTTTTTTAAGTTGGTTTTTGTTTGACCCAGAACAGTTCCATTTTGTTTGTTTGCCAATGGGTTCCTAGACTACTTACCTAAGGGGGAAGCCTGTACTACAATGGCCTGCCCTCCAAGAGATAATAACCCTTTTTGGTTATGGCTACCTTGACCAGGAATGCAAGCAATTGTGCATTCTATCTATGACTGCAAATGTTCTTCCATAGGGAACATTAAAAACAAAGTACTTCTTGGGAGAATGACAATGAATTAATCTTGGCAACTAATAAAAAAGACAACCATTCAAAGCATTGTGTCACTACAAGCAAATAATACGCCTAACTGCTATCCAAGGATAGAACCACGTTTCCCATGTGGGCTGTAATACCACGGGCGAGGGCACTGGCCTGGTGGAAGGAGCCTTCCCTTGGAACGGTAGCCCCAGAGGCACAGGACTCAGCATGGACCATGCCTTGGAGTGGCCAGATGTGCCTCAGAGGGGGACACGTCTGAGTAGTAATCTCTAACAACCTGCACACCACAGTGACTCACAGGGTTCCTCGGACAGGTGAGATGCTCATCCACTGCGTTGGCCGTTTGATTCTCCCTTGATGATCACGGGAGTTTGAGAAGACAGCAATACAGACTTCGGTTTTTATTCAGTATGCCCTCATGACACATTTCCTATAGGCTGGGCACCTTGTCAGGCATCGGGGCTGCATGCCTTCCTAGGGTCAGACCTGGGGAAAGGACACTCCGCGGAGGGGAACCATCTGCCTCCCATGAGGCAGGTCAGAACTACCATGGCGAAGGCTACCTCCAGGGCTACACACTTCCTGGGGCCGGTCCTGCCTTTCTCCGGTTAGAAGTAAGTGCTGCGGTCAGTACACCAGTGCCGTTGCATCCCCTTACACCCCACAGGGGGGCTGTGGTTTAAAAACAAACAGAAACAGACCTTGAGGACTCTCGGTTACCGAACCGCTCAGAATCTGAGAAAAGACTGCAAACACCATCAACAGCTTATGTTATGGATTGACGTCAAAATACCGTGAGCACAAAGTGACTGACTCTTCGGGTTACAAGACACCTTTAGCAGTTCACCATCTGCAGCATCCATCCATCCTTGACTCCGTCTGCCCTGGGCAGCCAGCCCCTCCCCCCGGCTGCCTCTACCCGAGTGGCCTCATCCTTTTCTGAGCGTCTCTGACTACTAGCGTGTCTTCCAATGAGATAGCAAAAAGCATCTTACTAACACGTGTCCCTGTGTCGAACAGAAGAGCTCACTCTCTTTCCTGTAAGACAGTCCTTTGGACACGGAGTTTCTTCTGGATGACCTCACCTCCAACCAACTACTTTTAATAACAGCAGCTCAGCCGGGCTCGGCGGCTCAGCCTGTAATCCCGCACTTTGGGAGGCCGAGGTGAGTGGATTGCCTGAGCCCACGGGTTTGAGACCCGCCTGGGCAACTTGGCGAGAACTCGTCTCTACAATAAATCAAAAAATTAGCCGGGCGTGGTAGTGCGCGCCTGTAGTTCCAGCTCCTTGGAAGGCTGAGGCAGAAGGATCACTGGAGCCCAGCAGGTCAAGGCTGCGGTGGCCAGGAGTGGCCACTGCACTCCAGTATGGATGACAGAGTGAGACTCTGACTCAAAAAAAAAGAAAAAAAAATAACAGCAGCCCACACCCCATACGGTATTCCTCCCTCATCCACAGGGGGTACGTGCCCGGACTCCAGCAGATACTTGAAACTGTGGACCGTATGGAGCCCTACAGACACAAGACAGTTGATCTGATGACCAGAGGTGCCACGTGAGCACGAGGAACAATGTTCACACGGGGAAAGAGGTAGTGGAATGGGACAAGATTTCATCATGGTACTCAGAACGGTGCACAAATGAGCACTCACAACTTGTTTGTTTCTGGATGTTTCCACTTAATATTTTTGGACCGAGGCTGAGCAAGGGCACCTGAAACTGTGATAAGTGAAGACAGCCGTCACATCACAGTGACATGACCTGAGGCTGTGAGGGAGAGGTAAGTGCGTCGGTACAGAGTCGCTGGTCCAAACACAGATCTGATTCCATTCCTCTGCTCTTTGGAACCACCTCACAGCTTTGTATTTGGTCCCCTAAAACAAACGGCTTTTTTTTTTTTTTTTTGAGTTGGAGTCTCAATGTGTCTCCCAGGCTGGAGTATAGTGGCATGA